GATTATTAACATTTGTTGTTGTAAATACATTTAGTTTTATTACCGTTTAAATGTAGATTATTTATTGTAAGTATACATATATCTAGACTGCTACTGTTTTACTTTAAACCCTTCAATCCCCATAAAAATCACATGCAGTCGCGCATGCGTCTATCAAATCCCGAGCGGTCGCGTGCCACCGCACCCACTCACAGCACTTTAAACCATTGAAACTTATATTTAGGTAAAAGTAGTCTACTTTTCTATGAAGAAGTTTGGCATTATAAAATCTATACAAAATTCTCTATCATGTGGTCTTAAAAGTCAGGTTTTACTTCATTACAAAAAGACTATTGTATTTTGATAACAAAAAACGGGTACATAACAAACGGATGTCGACAGCGTGAAAATCACTATTATATTACTGGATATTATTTACTAAAAAATCTTCACAAAAATTTCTGTAATAAAACACTATAGTAAAACATTAATAAAACACTAGAAAAATCCAAAAATCAACACAACATGCAAATAAAAATGGCGTACGTAATGAACGTAGATTATAAATAAATATCCACAGACTAAGTGAATTTTTATTGCACTAAAGGATAGGAAATTTCATATTGATTCTATCATGTCACACTTCTTCATAGAAAAGTAGTCTCTAAATATAAGTTTTAATGGTTTGAAGTGCTGTGGGTGTGCGCGGTCGAATCTGACCGCTTAGGGATTGAGGGGGCTATCCACTGCTGATGACCGGATATTTGCAGTAGTATTCACGCTTGGCAAACGGGTTGGCAACCGCAGCTTTTTATTACTGTTTCAGTTTCCCTCTGTCGCCTCTTACGACACCCACGGGACGATATGGGATATTGGTTTCATTTTCACTGCCGCTACATGACTAATATATTTCTACTCCCATTCATTAAGGGGAAATATAATGTCAAATGGCTTAGCAAGATCTTTCGTTATGCCGAAAATATTGCAGCATTAATTTTGAAATAAATATATGGTAAAGTTGAGGATTAATGTTAATGATTATGTTAGACGAAAACACGATTTCGTAAAATTTCCTCGATAGAAAAAAAATCCAAAATTACCTCCAAAATAAACAATAAACCGCTGTTATTCATAAAATACTTTAAATAAGATCATGAAACTTTGCATACTAACTGAACTAACTATAAAGCAGTGCTTATGTTATTTACTTTTTTTAAAATACCATTATTTTCACTTTAAAAAGAAATTACCTAAACTATCGGCGTCTTGAGCTTGATTTTGAAGGGAGAAGTTGTGTCGCTTACGATCAGAATATACATTACGCAACAGTACGACGTAAAATTAAAATGGGAAATAACCGTGATAAAAATAAGAAGCGGCTGGCTTTGGCTTTAAGAAACAGGCATAAATATGATAAACCTAATGAAATAAGTGTCTAACGACCTTTCTACTTACAGTATTAGTGATTACAAACATATTAAACGAAATTAGAATTTGAGCTGACTTACTCTATCCTCTTAATTGTATTCTTCCCATAGATTGGCAAATAATTTAGATATTTACCATAGTTGCCAAGCTTGGCATGCGGCTTACCAACTGCATACTTTTATTATTTTGAGCTGTGATCGCAAAGACGCTGCTGCTCATTTTCTATATATTTCTACCCCTGTTCATGAATATTTCTCTATTCTAGTTGTCTATAATTATAGTTCTATCACACGTTCACTGTGAATAGAACTACATTTATGAAATTTTAAAGTCTATTCGAACGTAAAAAAATGCCAGCATGGTGCCAAACAATATTCAATGGGCCAATATTAATAAAGATCATAAAATTCAAGATTATTTTGTCAAAACAATATCATTTCTGATTCCAGGGAAATTTTCCCCTTTCACACTTCTGACACAGAGAAAGACATGCCCGATAAAAAAGGTGTTGCTAGAAGTACGATAATAATTAAAGCAATTCTGATAAACTTACTTATGTCTTTCTATAGAACATATTATATTGCCAAATTTCAATAATTTTCTACGTCCAAAACAGACAGATATCGAGGTGTCTCAGTGATCCAGTTTTGCTAATTTTAGAACGAAATAGTATTATCGATGTTTCTAAATTCAAGCCCACGCGAGTAAGCCGCGGGTAAAAAGCTAGTATATTATAAATCTTTCTACTGGGTTATGAAAATTCATAATTAAAGGATAATAAATTGTATTGTATGGCGTATCTATGGTTTACTATACAGTCTTGATGCCGTACATTGTATTTGTTTTTAACTGTTTTTTTAAGACTTTCAATATCGGTTCGTGATACAAGAATCACTTTACAGCCATAATAAAGTTATATTGCGTGTAAGGCGTGACAACCATTACGTTTATAATCTTTTTTTATATCGGGATTTTAAGTTCGTATTAGTAAAAAAGTCTTCTTACTAGTACTAGTAGTACTTCTATAAATACAATAATATACTTCTATATATATGATATACTTCTTATATATATATATATATATATATATATATATATATAATTACTTCTTATATATTATAGGATTACTTATGTATATATTCTCATACACAGGAGTTTGGAGATTACAATATCTGACATCTCGTACGAACGATTGCGTATGATGCTTTTGCCGCCGATTTGGGTATTTTATGTCCAGGCTACAGAAGATGAATAGACGTAATTTTTTTTAATATTCCAAGCCAGTGCTTGGCTACTACCCCACCCGATGGCGAATGGTGATCAGCCAAGAGAGTAAGGTACAGTACACTTATTTAACAAAAGCCTATTCACTCGTGCCTTGAAGACATCCACACTGTAATCAGATGGAATGACAGAAATTGGCAACTTATTCCTTTAATGCATGCATCACGAACAATAATGCAAACCGCATGGTTCAAATGCGTGGTATCCTGCATTTCTGATATATGCCTCTTATGACACTACGGATAGGGGATAATATGAGTACGAACGTTTTAATTGTCTAGAAGTATTTGTGATACAAAATGAGTGTGATAATATAAATTTTATGGAATACTGAACAAACACTTGACAAGTAAAAAAGACGTAGATAAATGCATAGTGGTTAGAAAAATTAAAGGCTGAAATGGTCAAAGGTCTTAAAATTCATCCAGACAATGAAAAATACAGCATATCATGAGAGAGTCAAAGGAAAAAGTTTTCTAATGAAAATGAGCATCGCAACTTCAGCGATCGTTAGAGATGTGCTTAGGGTTATAAAGATCTAAAGAAGATTTGGAGATTTTTTTTCCATTTGTAGATAAATGCGGAATAATATATTAAAATGTAACCATTGACTTATATATTACTAGCGTAAGGACCGGGCCGACCGAACAACTAAAACGGACCGGTTGGCTGGTCCTAAAATTACAGTTTAGGGCCAACGCGAATCGGTCGACAGTAGTACGCGCGCAGGACAGATTTGCCTGTCATAAATATGTCTAGTTGCGTGGTAAAATGATGCAAAAATTACGATAAAAATATTAAAAAGGAACATGGGATATCGTATCATCGGTAAATAACCTTATATTAATTTTGTTACAATTAAATTATTATATAAACGCATTTTAAAGTCTTATTTTACAGTTAGTTTAGTTACGTTACCAAGATTAGGTCAGGGTTGGATTCAGATTCCCAAAAATATTGTAGATGGAAAATAAATTATTACTATTTTTAAAAAATTATATCACGTTTGACGTTTCATGTTACTTTTTTCCCATGTGCCGGGATTTTCGCGTTACGCGTTTAGTCTATCTATACTTTTTGTTTTTTGACGGTTTTATTTTTATTTATGTTTAATTTTCGTCTAAAGAACTTAGTATAAGTTAAATTTTGAATATTGATACCTAATATATTTTATGTTCAATAAGGGTAAAACAAAATTAGTAAAAAAGAAACCATATCTGCTTAATTGAATCTGAAAATCTGATGCATAAAACATTTTTAAATTCTGTTCAAACCGATTGCTTCTGGAGTACAGAGTTTCTATCATGGTAGCGGTATCGTGGTAGCAGAGTTGTATCAAAGATGCAAAATAAATGCATCGATCGGTTTTATTTAAAAAAAAAAACGCGGTACTCATGTACAATACAGAAATTCTCGATATCGTACGGTTAATATTAAAAAGTAAAAGGACCCAATAATAATACAAGTCGACCTTTAGGTATTTTCGCTTAGTATTATTACGATACTATATACTACAAACAATGAAATAATGGTACAATTAGGATAATTATACTACGAAATCCGAACTTGGTTACGTCGTGTTATTATATGACGTTTGTATTATAAAAGATGCGCTACTTTTTCTTGTATGACAAAGTTATGAGTAAAAGATTTAGATGGGCCTGTCCTTACTTTTGAAATCATTGAATGTAACTGAACATGATAAAGGAAATATTGAGGTCACAAAAGTCATTGTCTATATACGGGCGATATATTTGTCTAATAACGGTGTCAAGAATAAAATACAAGGAGATATCACGGAGGGGGTGAAGGGTAAGAAATAAAACCTAAATTTCTAATGTGACGACTGATGATAATGTCACTAGAAAATGCCATATCGATTTGGAGAAAGAATTTACGAGACAATTGCAGAAAGTTCTTGTAACTATAGAGTCAAAACCAAAAAAGACCGACAATTTATAATGACAATAGTCTAATAAGAAAAATCAAGGGATAGTGAAGCTTAGAGAATTATTTTACTGTATCCTACCTTAAAAACTCATCTTAAAAATGTTTTAAAATTTAGTCAATAACATGATTCGATGCTTAATCAATACTGTCTACTTATATTAGATATTTTTATTTCCAAAACCAACATTTGCTACAGAATAGATATAAAAATATTAATATAAAAACGTTAGAAATCCTACAAATAGATATCTTCATTACCTATATTTTGTATTATATATTATATATTGCATGCTTTAATACATATATAAACTGCCTTACTCACTGCACTCGCTTAGTCCTCTATCTTCTACAGCTACGACATGAAACAGTTATTTCTGATTTTGGCCTTACTCTGTGGCGCATATTTACCATATGGTAAGTGAAAGCCATTAAATTAATTGATTGCAAATCTTCTTTTTATTTTCATCATTACCATCTTGCAAACTTTTTTAGCTTAATGGCTGACTATATTACTTTAAGCGAGAATAGAGCCAGATTGCTTGTCAATGCTGGTTCATCTTATTACTAAATATATCCTTGTTTGATACATTTAGTTAAAATTATTTACATTATTAATTAATAATTATAACATGCACAATTTTATGTTCATTAGTTATTTAATACCTATCTAATGTTTTTTTAAACGTCTATTAAGTAGGTACCGTTTATATGTTAAGACCTTATTGTACATGTACACGTAGTAAGTGCTAGGTTGTTGTAAAATAATAAAAAAAGAACGAAACACTTTATTTTGGCATAAACTCCACACGTGAATCGAAGAACATCGTAAATCAAATTACACTATTATGCGATTTAATAACCACTTGATCAATAAAAACGACGCGTCAAACCGTATTTTTAGATTTTTTATATTGTTTATATTAAAAAAAAAGTTATTTTCAGCGATATTATTGTAGGTGCAGGTTTTTTACTAAAATACAAGAAATCGTTTCTGAATTGGCATTTTCCCGATAGTGCAAGGATTTAGCTTTAACGCTTTCAGCAACCGTATCAGGATATACGTTGTTCTTCCATTTACAAAATGAAAAATAGCTTATTTAGTATTGACGCTTATGCCTAGTTACTTTAATTTTATTCGTTAAACGCTTAGAGTAATTACATACGGTTAAACACCATAAGTAGTCGGCGTTTTGACATTTTCCTATCTAGCGTTCGTCTATTGTTTCGTAAGTTTTTTCTCGAAACGCGAAAAAAAAAGCTTAATTTTGGTATTTCAGATAATATAATTTAATGATGTGTAAAGTATATTAAATCTTATTTTAAACATTGATAGTAGAAATATGAATATGAAAACCGATAAGTAGCTTTAAATATATATTTGTATAATGTTCACTTTTCACCTTCGATCAATGTTGATAGAAGCTTTTCACTAATTAACGCCTTTTTGAGGTCTAATCGGATTAATTCAACCCTGAAGTCAAATACATGTACGAATATAAACTATTTAGTTACACAATTAGTACAAATAGTTTGATAGCAAAAATATATTTTGTGATTTTTGATACATATAGATATTGGTTTATAAAAATTGAAAAATATATGCCATTTTGAACTTTTATGTATTTGAAATGGATGTAAAAAGCCTGAAATAAATTACTAATATTTTTATTATTATTATTAATTCTAGCCACTATTTTTAAGTAACAAAAAATTCCTGCACAACGTTTTTGTCCGGCACACTAAAGTAATATTAGATATAGGTAGTCTTTACTTTAAATATATAATTATTGAAATTTTTTGTAATATTTCTAATCGGTATTTATAATATTTAAGTTATATTCTTACATTTTCCATAAATAAATCTCATCGTTTGGTGTAATAGTTATCGAGGCTAATTTGGATAGTATACAGAGATGATATAAAAGATTAATACCTGTATAAAATATTACACGGTTATAACTTTAACTCTATATATAGATTTAACACTCTGTTAACATTTAAAATCCAAATCCTTCATATCAATTATATTCTGAAATTACTTAGTTATCAATCTCTCTCTAATTCATTAAGAATTTTTAAATTTTGTTTCAGTTTCAGGAAACCTGAATAGTGGACTTCGAGGTAATCTTTCTTTAAATAATATGAACTAAGCAATTTGATTATTTAAGATTTTGGTCCAGTATATCAATCTCCTTAGACAACCAAAGATTGATTAATGTTATCAACATTACCACAACTACACCCATGCGTGTTGGCGAAATTCACATGTCTTCAAAACATTTGTTTTCTTATTTCTCAGACCTGCAGGTTCCTCACGATGTTTCCCTTCACCGGCTAGAACGCGGTAAATAAACACTTAAAATTGCGAACCCGGTTTGCTCGCGTACCATGAAATTTACAACGAGCACTTACCATCTGAGCTGCCACGGATCTTAGCAAACAGGAAAAAAATAATTAAAACTTTATATAGAACATAAGAAACTACTACTATTTAATATCAAACATTATAAAAAGTCATAAAAATGTCGAAATTACAAGGTGTAAAAAGGGCAAAATCTTATTCGCTTTCCTGTAAACCTTGCTTTTTGATTTACGATCTTATTCTGAACTGTTGCCGTACCTACAAGCCACAACAATATACAAATATATAAAAACTGCGTAAATATAATAATCTTTTCTTTCTTTGTACATTGTAATCATAAATCATGCCTAAAAAGGTCACCACTCAACTTGGTAGCAGGAAACCACAACGCTGATGTTTGACCAAATACTTGTAAGTGTAAATGCCGCTATCTAAGTATTTTTAGTCATAAATCTAGCTGATGCAAAATCAGCTTGGTCTTACTTTACACCTAGCATTAAACTTTTGAACTCACCCAATTAGACACAAACATGGACTTAACTAATTTAACTGCATGTGTCGTTAATTTTTACTGCACCAACTCAATCACTTAACCGGAAACAGACATTTGTTAATCGTTTAAAAACTACAAATGTCATCTAAATCCATTGATTTCTATAGCATGGGTTTATTTTTATCATGCTAAAGATAGGTAATGAAATACTTATGTATTTAATTCATTAAAATTTTTTAAATTTTGTTTCAGTTTCAGGAAAGCTGAAGAGTGGACTTCGAGGTAATCTTTCTCTAAATAATATGAACTAAGCAATTTGATAATTTTTTTTATGATTTTGGTTCAATATATCAATCTCCTTGGACAGATTGATTAATGTTGATAGTTACAAAAATTCACTGTCACGAAGTATTTAACAAGGTTTTACTAAAGGCGGTTTGTTCAATGGTAAGGATACACGACGGCACAATATAGTTATAAACCAAGTGTCAAAGTGCATAATTTCTTCTCGAGACACTTACCACCTACACGTTATTTTACGCGGTAGAGCCATGCTTCAGCTATTACTTATGGTTGTAGCGTGAATGGATCGGCTCCTCCGGGGAAGGGCCACGCTCTTACTGATTAACCAGCGTAAAATAGCTGCTTTATGTGGCTGTGTTTCGTATCCTGAGTGTAAGAGAACCGGAGTTTCTTTTTACTGGAAACGAGGTATTTCATCCTAGTCTTCAGAGGCGACAATCTGCATTTTGATTATAAGCTGAAATTAGATGTAGATGTCTATGGGCCACAGCATCCACTTAGTATGAGGCTGCGAGCACGTTTGCCACCCTTATTATGTATAAAAAAATCTAGATACCCTGTCGTTGGATTGGAGATTTATTGGTATCATCAGTCGACAAATCCTTAAAAGCTTAAGTATCTAGTAGACTAGATATTTAAAAAAAAGATATTTAGATATTTACAATAAGCGCTATAGACTCTAGAATACTTGATATTTTTAGCACGTAGATATTTAAAAAAAAGCGCTATAGACCCTAGAATTGCACTAGATCTAGCGCCAAATGCGCTGAAAGGGCAACCCTGTTCACAACATGTCGCTGCATCAGATTGCCAAGTTTTTGGGAGATTTTAAGGGTAGCTTGCACCAGTAGATAGCCGATGACAATAGTAGCTCAAGTTGCCAAATCAGACACATTTTTACACACTAAAACAGGACTGTCAAAATTACATATTCATAATTTTTAAATTTTCATGTGCCGCAGTCAAGTTCAGCGTCGGTATTCGGCCTGGAATAGACTTCTTCTTCCCATTACCCCGCACTGTATATGACGCTAAGTGCGAAGGCTGGACTTTAACGGAACGCCCGTCTGGACATATGCCTAGCCTCGTCATGTACTGCCCGGGAGAACGGATTGTGTGCACGATGTTTGACCAGGACGAAAACATTGCTGGTCTCCAAATAGCTGTAAGTATTACAAAGGGTAGAGTGAGGTAATTACGAACACTTAAGGGAAAACAGATTAAAAATGAAATCAAGTTACAAATGCTGTTGGTTATAAACTATTCACAATCAAAATCAAAATTCTATTGAACAAGGTAATTTTTTAAATATAATCAAATTTTAAAAACAAAAACCTTGGTGTCCGGCATTACCAGCAGTGAAGTGATTACGAATAGTGTGTGAATCATGACAAAAGATGGCATCGCTAATGCATCCTCTACCGATGTGCTTTTACCACTCGTGCAGTTTCTGTGGGCCCGTAAACTATATTTATAATATATACGGTACTTACACAGCCTTCTTTTGGGGAGATCTTCATACATTTTAACACAAAATATTCATTTAATATATAATATTCATTTTCCTTTGATGCTCTTTCTTTGATGACTTTATTAATTACATTCATCATCATCGTCATTACAGCCCTTCACAAGTCCACTGCTGAACATAGGCCTCCTCCAAGGTATGCCACAAAGCACGGTCCTGAGCCACCTGCGTGCATCGACTTCCTGCATGTCTTACCAGGTCGTCACTCCATCTAGTGGGCGGTCGTCCTACACTTCGCCTACCGGTACGAGGCTGCCACTCGAGAACCTTTTTTCCACAACGGTTTTCGGTTCTTCGAGCTATATGGCCAGTCCATTGCCACTTCAGCTTACTAATCCGTTGGGCTATGTCGGTCACTTTGGTTCTACGGCGGATACCCTCATTCCTAAGTTTATCACGCAGAGAAACTCCGAGCATAGCTCTCTCCATAGCTCGCTGAGCGACTTTGAGCGTCCTCATACGGCCGGAGTGAAGGACACGTGTCAGTTCCATAAGTCATCACTGGCAACACGCACTGGTTGTACAACTTAGTTTTCAGGTTTTGAGGTATACCTGACGAGAAGATGTGTCGTAATTTCCCGAACGCTGCCCAGCCGAGTTGAATCCGTCGGATGACCTCTCGGTCGAAATTAGACTTACCTAGTCGGACTTTGCTATTTGTCCCAGGTAAACGTATTCGTCAACAACTTCGATCTTAGTGCTCCCAACAACTACCGGCATAGGTGTGACATGGACATTAAACATGATCTTTGTTTTGTCCATGTTCATCTTAAGACCTATCCGTTGGGAGGCACTATTGAGGTCATTGAGCATAGTGCTTAAGTCTTCCAGCGATTCTGCCATAAGGACTATATCGTCGGCAAATCGAAGGTGAGTGATGTACTCGTCAAATTCGACATCGACGATTAATTACATTAGTATGTAAGAAAAAAAGGTCATCACAGTTGACATCTTCAATTATTTTAAACTTTTCATATGATATATGATTCTCTTTATCTTTGTTATTACTCGTACTTTCAGCATTTTCATCTTTTTTATCTGCCTTTTATTTTTTTATGTCTTCCTTCCTAAATGTATTTTATTGTAGTGCTAGTTAAATAGTCAAATGTTTTTGCTAGAAATCGGCTTTGATTTATTATGTGGTATATTAAGAACAATTGTAACAATATCTTTAAGTGTTATACAAATGTACATCATAGTTAAAGGAGTCATTGGTCTTCGTACAGTTGACGTCGACACTGTGCATCAGGTGTTACTGCTTCTTGCGAATTGCCAATTAATATTTTAACATGTGGTGGTAATTTAAAATAAAGAAATTTGAAAAGTAATTTAATTTTCACAAAAAAACTGTATTAAATGCACAATATTCATCACGGAAGTGAACAGTTTAGATGATAGGCCAAAATATTAAGTGTAATTTTATATATTTTATTATAACGTTTCGTAAGAGGAGTTGTATGTTACAGGTAAAATACTTTACAAAAAATTAATTTTACTCATTAGAGTAAAATTAGATGCAACTGTAAACAGAAATTCAATGGAGGTTACCTAGTATTGCAAACGTTATCTCACTAGGCCAAGCGGCGTAGTAAACATTGTTCGATACTAGTTTCGGCCTCGATTATTAACTGTATCACACAAAATATCTCTTATATTTTAAATGTAACAACTGTGTTTGTCCTTACCGTGATTCCCTACTCTCCCCTATAACTGAGGTATATACAAAAGTAAGTAAAAATTTCGCGAAATATTGGTAAACTTTGATTGATTAGTGTGAGAATTGTGTATTTTTAAGTTCTATATAAGAACTATGAATTAAGAATTTCTCTTCCCTCTCGTCATTCTAAGCAGTTCGGGAAATATTAACGTCAAAGAATCAAAAAACTGATTGAAAATTGAAATACGTAGGTACTTGAACAGTGCCTTATTTAACTAATAGACACAATAATTGGCCTTACATACAATATATGTATTACCGTTGCTTACTTAAATATTAATTATATTTATCTGTTTTCTTTTCTATTGTCATTTAATGAACACAGAGAGAGAAAGGAACTTCAAGCATTTTTTATGAGTAAAGCCGAAATTATTTCGAATAGTAGATATTTAATAATTGTAAATTGTTAGATTTCCGTGCCAGGTGCCACGAAATAGAACTCTTATACAACACGTAACATAATTAACGCAGTTTGAGAAAGTAGTTTGTTCAGAATCGTTTACTGAATCGATTCCTATCATTTTTAATATAGGTAATTTTTTATCCCAAAAATAATTAAAACTACGTAAATTACAGTCACACTAAATCTGTACAGTCAAAACAAACTGAAATGGACCGTAAGGCAATAAGACTTTTAAGAGTGCAGTTTTATTTGTATTATTACTAATTTGGAAGACGGCTTTCGTCCACCCGATCCCTAAAAAAGGCGACCGCTCAGACCCGTCCAACTACTGGCCTATCGCCATCACCTCCTTGTTCTCCAAAACAATGGAGTCTATTGTAAACTGCCAGCTCATGAGGTACCTTGAGGATCACCAGCTGATTAGTGACCGCCAATACGGTTTTCGCCGTGGTCGGTCAGCTGGTGATCTTCTGGTCTACCTAACTCACAGATGGGCGGAGGCAGTAGAGTCCAATGGGGGAGGCATTGGCCGTTAGTTTGGACATTGCGAAGGCCTTCGATCGGGTTTGGCACTAAACGGCTCTTTCGAAGCTCCCTTCCTATGGGCTTCCCGAGAAATTGTGCGATTGGATCACCAGCTTTCTTGCAGATCGGGGCATCAAGGTCGTTGTAGACGGTGCAAGCTCCGATTGCAAGCCTATTAATGCTGGTGTTCCACAAGGCTGCGTGCTATCGCCAACGCTGTTTCTTTTGCGTATCAATGATATGTTGCAAACCCGTAACATTCATTGCTATGCAGATGACAGCACTGGTGATGCTCTTTACACCGGCCGAGCCAATATTTCTCGGGAAAGCGTCTCCGAGTGCCGGGACAAACTTGTGTCTGAAGTCGAGTCTTTGCTGAACAGAGTCTCGGATTGGTGGCGACTAAATCTAGTCCAGTTTAACCCCCAGAAGACACAAGTTTGCGCGTTAACCGCTAAAAAGAACCCCTTTGTCGTATCTCGTCAGTTTCAAGGCACTCCCCTTGTTGCCACAGCCAGTATCGGAATCCTCGGCGTCGACATATCGAGTGACGTGCAGTTTCGTGGTCACTTGGAAGAGAAGGCAAAATCGGCCTCTAAAAAGCTTGGCGTGCTCAGCAGAGCGGGACAGTATTTCATGCCGGCACACCGCCTGCAACTTTACAAGACGCAGGTTCGGCCGCACATGGAATACTGTTCCCATCTTCTGGGGCTCCCCAGTACCAGCTCCTTCCACTTGACCGCATCCAGCGCAGAGCGGCTCGAATCGTCGACGACCGAGTGTTTTCCGATCGGCTCGATTCACTGGCACTGCGAAGAGATGTTGAATCTCTTTGCATTTTCTTTCGCATATACCATGGAGAGTGCTCTGAGGAATTGTTCGGATTAATTCCAGCCGCCAAATTTCGTGAACGCACTACGCGGCAAACGTCGCGATACCATCCACATCATCTGGATGCTTGGCGGTCCACCACTGTACGTTTCAAGAGGAGTTTTCTTCCGCGTACAACCTCTCTGTGGAATAGTTTACCACCAGTGATTTTTCCGGACCGATACGACCTGGGGACCTTCAAGAAAAGAGCGTACTCCTTTCTAAAGGGCCGGCAACGCACCTGCAATTCCCCTGGTGTTGCGGTTGATCATGGGCGGCGGTAGTCACTTAACATCAGGTGAGCCGCATGCTCGTTTGCCCCCTCTTCTATAAAAAAAAATAAAAAATAAATAAATAATTATGTCATTAAAAATAAAGAAAAATGAACTTTATTTCAAGCACGTTAAAGTCTTGCGTTCGTGGATTTGTACTGTGACCACAACATTCTTCCGGAATTAGTATAACTAATTTGATAAATAATCAGTGCATAAAAATGTTTAACTAAAAATTCAGTGTATGTATTATGATTATAACATAATATACTAATTGGGGTGTCTGAGGGTGTGCGTTAATTACGTTACATATTGTATAATACGCTTATGAGTTACAAAACATATCAAAGGAAAGTTGATACCTTCACCTATATTTACATATTTTTTATACATTACTCGCACATAAGGATTTTTTCTGTAACGAGGTGTTTTATAAAAATTTCACATCGACAAATATTCCGTGTCCGGGACACGGAACACATAAACCACTTGTTCCGTCCGGTAACCGAATCCCCTACCCCGCAACAGAGCAGTCAAACGCTTAGCCACAGCATTATGCCATCATCCAATATATAATTACGTTTAATTTTATTAGGTCCCAAAAGACGAGATTACTGACTCCACATTGGACTGGCCTACTCAAGGATGGACCAAATGGACAACCACAACAACTTCCGGAGAAACTACAACCTTCTGGACTATTCAACAATATTTTGTCTCTAAAGGTTTGATTTTTAATCATAAATCATTACAATATGTATTGACAAATTTTACATAAATCGATCTGCTTTAGTCCAGTTTCAAGCTTTTCTTTATAAGATAAGGGTGACAAACGAGCACACAGTCAACCTGATGATAAGTAGTTTCTGTGGCTTATAGACATCTACATCTATCAAAATGCAGATACGTTGTCACCCGTGAGGACTAAGATGGATTCCCCGTTTCCAGTAAAAAGGGTCTCTGGAACTCTATACTCACTATGCGATACACAGCAGCGTTAAGCTGCTATTTTACGCTGGTATTCTGTGAGAACGTGGTCCTTTCGTGGTCGAGCCGACCCAATCGCGCTACGACTATGCTACTAATATAGCTGTAGCATGGCGCTACCACGTAATAAAGCTTTGCCTTTAGGTACATATTCACAATTGGATATGGCTCTGTTGCGTTATGCATTGTTACACAAAACTTCTAACGGTGCCTTCTCAACAGTCGTTGCAGCTATCTTTTTAAAACATCATAGAATACCTACTTTACATAACCCCCCCTCTCTCCGCGCCTTCCCAAAAAACATCTCACCTCCCCTCCCCCATCCCTTTTTCACAACTATCTGTGATGATGTCGTCGTGTCAAACATTAACAACATATTTGAGCATACTTGCTTAGGCTTTACACTGGTTACTAGACAAAAAAGTGTCCAACGTTCGTCCCGCCTGATGATAAATGATGATGAAGACCTAGATGATAAATCGGACTACCTTATCATAACAAAAGCCTATTTACTCTTGCCTTGAAGACGTCCAGATTATAATCGGACGGAAAGACTGACTCCTTTGCTGTATGGAAGGCGAAGCAAACCGTATATCTAACAAAAACCAAATACAACGCTATATTAATACCAGCGTTAAATAGCAGCTAAATGCTGCTGTGTTACGTATGGCGAGTGTAGAGAACCGGAAAACATTTTTAATGGAAACGAAGTATTCTATCCTAGTCCTCAGGGCTATTAAACGGTTCTTTTAAATTAGAAAAATAATTATTAATAGAGGATAGTTGTAAATGTCTATGGGCCACAGCATCCACTTACCACTAGGTAGACTGAGTGCTCGTTTGTCACCCTTATTTTATTCTGTAAAAAGAAAAGTGTCCTATAAAGTTGATATTTTTGGGTAGTTAACATAACCCCTGATCGCAACAGTAACTAAGGACTTATGAACTTTTGAAATTCGTTGCATAGTAGAAACACCACATAAATTCAATCGGCCTTATTGCAATAAGTAGTTTATTAGTATTAATTTTAAACTAGAATATATTTTACGAAAGAAGTTACGCGGTAATGAACGAACTAAAATGTAATAAGTCCTAATTAAATCAACTTCTATTTGATGGTATTATTTTCCTCTAAAAATCTACTTTGTCCTCTGAATTACTAAGTCAGACACAATCAATGCGTATTTGAAAAATACTATCTTAGCCACTTTATGACTTCGGTGTAAGCTGCTGTAAATACAACTCAACATGGTAATTACTTTTCAGCATCGACATTTGTAACATATATTCTAAGAGTAATAATCTTGCTTGGTTACAATGACATCAGAAGATGGTGGGTTAGTTTCAAATGTGGAAATTATAAGTCAAGCCACAGAAAAAATCCTGTGGCTTGACTTATAATTTCCCAAATGTAATGTATGGAATTTGGTAACAAATGTCAAGTTTCGCGAAGAGTGGTGCCGCAGCTAAGCTACTTTCTTAAGTATAATGTACACCATAGCTTAAACCTGATACCCCGATACTATCAACAAACCACCTTTTGTAATAAGACGGAAGAGTCTAAGAAATCAACCGTGTATATTAAAGAAAAGCAATCATCCATATTCATTTTTTGACATTTAGAACAAAAGCGTAAAACAATTCAAATGATATATCTTGTTTAACCAAAGACATTTAAGAGGAGTATTACAAAAAAAAAACGCGAAATTACAAAATTTCCTCGTTGAAATTATATGTTTTTCGTTCGTTGCTTGAAATAATAATTACTTGGTAAAAATAGATCGTTTTCTCTACTACAATAAGCCCAAGGCAAATTTTATATAACTCATTTATTTATTTAATAATAATCATTCTCAATAGGCTTGTTTAGACCAAAACTCCGAGAGACATGATTTGTGAGTTGAATTGAGTGAGTTGAAGTTTGAATATCGACCATCGAAAAAAATATTTTAAGTCACATATATATAGGATATTTGTTATATTAATTACTTTAATAATTATTAAATACATTTTCGTTATATGTCTATCACGTAAGGAAAAAAATCGACATAATTCAATTATCTACCGAAAAGCTTCGATACTAGCGCCAATATCACCAAAGTTCTGCATTATTTTGACGTAAAATTTATACCAAAATAATCATCAACATTTGCTTAAACTTTACCATGATTTTTACTTTTTAAATCATTACTATTATTTTTTAATTAACTAAATAAAAGTACCATATATTTCACTGCGCCGGCCCTCTGCGTTCAACAGAGCTGAAAAGAGCGCGAGCGCTCGTCGAGGTCGGACCTGTATTAATTTATTTCCCGCGCTCCGTCTGGTTTCGATATTATCGTTGATGTCTTCTTCACGTGTCTTTGGGCACATGGAGGTTTCGGGCCTCGGGGTAAGCCCCCATTACCCGTGCTGTCCTCGCGGTCCACCACTATGGACCGGTCCTGGGAGCCTTCTAATGGCATTGTAGGTGTCATACGATTTGTCGCAATCGGTAAATTTTTCGTAGTCGGTTATGACTACGAAAAAAGGAGGTTATCTAATAAAGTCGGAGTTGGCCTTTCAGCGGCATTGAGGGTTGTTACTCGACTCTCTAATCGATATAAAAGAGGAGTTCTCTTGGATAGGGTCGCCCGTCCGGAGGGCGAGAGTGTAGCGGCGCAAAGTTGTTTAGATGTAAGTGTGGCCCGTTGTCTGCACGGTCGAACAGTCCGCGCGCCAACCGGGCCACAAACTCCTGGATGGTAATGATCTTCAGGTTGGCCGCTATGACGTCATTCCGGACGTAGCGACCCGCACTGACGATGGTTCATAACGCCATATTTTGCTGGGCCTGCAGTCGCCGCCTCAGAGGCTCGCTCAGAAGCGCGTACCAGGCCGGAGCAGCATAGGTGATGATTGATCTGATATAAGTCTTATAGACACGCACTTTGGTATTAAGTGGTAACTTGGATGCCAGGACCGGACGTAGCATCGCCCGCGCACATCGTGCTCTGCGGATAACGAGGTCGACGTGCGCAGTCATGCGCAGCGCCCGGTCGATCCGGCACCCAAGGTAGGTCACGGCCTTCTCGTACGCGATCTGCTGGCCATTGAGGGTTAGTTGAGGTGGTAGGTTCCTGAGGCGGCGAGTGAGCAGAGCGGTCGTCTTACCAACGTTGACGACCATCCTCCACTCATCTAGCCATGGTGGCAACAGGTCCAGGAGGCGTTGCATCCTGGCAGCGGCAATATGGGCTCTTCTGGAAGAGGTAAAATAAGCGCTATCGTCCGCATATAACGCCAATTCCACGTCGTCCTCCCATTCTTGCAGCCTGCCTGCCAGGGTAGGGATGTCGTTGGTATAAGCCGCGTACAGGACTGGAGACAAACAGCTGCCCTGAGGAACGCCGGCTCTGATGGTTCTGGTTGCGGACTCGGCGCCCTCTACGCAGACGTAGAACTTCCTGTCTGCCAGGAAAGACGCCACTAGCCGCAACATAGCAGGAGGGACACTGGTCTGTTCTTCCAATTTATAAAGTAGTCCAGAATGCCACACCCTGTCGAACGCCTTCTCGATATCGAGAAAGACGCCCAACGTAGTGCGGCCACGGTTGTAATCAGCCGCAAGCAGGTGCAGCACTCTGGTCAGCTGTGTTGCTGTAGAGTGACCCCTCCTGAATCCGTGCTGCTCCGCCCGAAGTTGGATGCACGGGCGGAGGCGTCTTAGCAACAATCTTTCAAGCAGTTTAGCTATGTGTGGTAGCAGCGTGATCGGCCTGTAGCTGGCAGCTCTACTCCTGTCCTTCCCGGGTTTCGGCAAGACGATTACTTTGCCTTTTTTCCAGTCCTCCGGGAAGTGGGATGTCCGCAGTATCCCATTGTAGAGTCGACCAAGCTCTACTAGGACTCTATGGGGCAGCTGTCGGAGTGCAGCGTTGGTAATCCCGTCGTGCCCCGGCGCCTTCCTCGGTTGCAGGCGGGTTGCTGTCCACCGCAGTTCAGCGGGGGGAGATGACCCACTCTCCTGCAAGAGGCGGCGCGGGCGACGACAGGAACTCCTGTACGCGACTCTCCTTTTGGGCATGAAGCTCCAAGAACTCCGCACTTGCTGGGTTCGGCATAAATTGCTCCTCGAAGTGCTCGACTAGGATATCCGCTCTACCCTTGGCATCGTAACGACGTTCGCCCGCGTTGTTGGTCAGCGGGCAAACGGGAGGTTTGGCTTTAGTTAACTGTCGGTTCAGTTTATAGAGCGACGCATCATGCTCTTCCGCCTTCCATATGCGCCGCTCCCAGGCATCTCCTCTGTGTGCCTGGACTGCAACGACAGTTCCTCCGACAAGGTGTTCAGTTTCGTTTTGATTCTCGGGCAGCGAGTACGCGCCCAGAGTCTCCTTAGGGCCCTTTTTATCTTAATCTGCACGCAGATGTGTCGCGGCAGATCATCCCTTTTGGTGGACATCGGGACGATCGTAGAGGCAGCGTTGAGGGCCTCTTGTATTGCCTTTGTCATATTTGCGGCTGCGGCCTCTACGTTCGTCCGCTGTGTTCAAGGGGTGGTGTGCTGGAGGTCTCTCCTGTAGGTGTTTGTGGTAGAGCCTCCAGTCGACACGTGTCTTCACTGTTCTGGGCGGCGTAGTCACCGTCTTTAGGCCAAGGGTAATTAATATCGGGAGGTGCTGTGAATCCAGGTCGTACAGCACCTCTACCACTATCGGGTAGTTGATGTTCCTAGCGAGCACGATGTCCAATACATCCGGACGACTTCGTGGATCCGTCGGAACATGAGTGGGTTCTTCGGGACCTAAAACGTCATAGCCGTGTCTTTCATCTTCAAAAAGTGCGTGACCCGGTGGGTTGATCAGTCTAGATCCCCACGCCGGGTGTTTGGCGTTTAGGTCCCCGGCGATGATGGTCGGTGTTTCGCCTTCCATTACCGTCCGGACGTCTGAGGAGCAAAATGGAGTCCCTGGCGGGCGGTATGCTGCGAAGATCCTAAGTTCCTCGCCCGCCGCCTCCATTTTTATGCCGATAGAGCGCATAGTCTGGTATTCCGGTAGGTCTAGTTCTTGATGGACGATGTCCCTTCTCACTAGGACCGCTGTCCCTCTGTAGGCGGCCCCTTGAGAAGTGACTCGTCCCTCCTATACAGATGGTAATTGGGCAGCTTTATGCGTGTGCTCGGATTAAGTTTCGTCTCTCCCAGCAAGATGACCTGTACGTCTTGTTGTTAGGCGACGGTGCGGAGTTCTTGCAGCTTCTGCTGGATTCCACCTGGGTTCCAGTAGAGGAGGCGCAGGTTAGACTCCTCCATAGTGCCGAGGCAAGAGGTTCGCCAGCGCCTTCATGACTGCTGTGATAGGGTCGGTCCCGGCTCTGATGTCTGCCAGGACCTGGCTGCCGACTTCAATTGCAATGCCAACCAAACGTTGGATGGCATCAGCAGTCTCGAAGCCGGCTGTTGGTGTTCTGCGTGTCTGTGCAGGAGTTGGCGCTGGTCTCGGGAGTTGGATTGATGCTCTTTGCGTATGGGTAGAGCGCGCTCTATGTGTAGAGCGGGCTCTATTTTCTGATAGAGCCCTTTCTGGCACTCTACCCATTCTGGTTTTCTTGACCTCCTTGGTAACCTGCGCCTGGGCTATCGTTACCGCTGGGGTTGGGGTAGAGGTTGCTGCCTGAGGAGGAGGCTGCACCTTCTTCTTCTTCTTCCTCCCCCGCTTACTCCACTGGGTGGTTTGGCGCTCTGTGGCGTCGTTAGCGGGGGGCTGAAGAGTCGCCCCGGTGGTTGCCTTTGATATGGTAGTGGTGGGCACCACCGATTCTGTGGGTGCCGTGACGGGTGGTGGGGGGGTAGGTTGCCTTCCCCTTCCACTGACTGTCGTCCACCCGTCTTCCTGAACCACGGCCCTGGGACGACTATGGGGGATCCTCTTGGGCTCCTCTGGGAGTAGTCCCGGTAGAGTAATCCCCTGCTTCCTTGCAATCCTCCTCAGGACTGGGCAGCGACGATCATTGGCGGTATGGTTCTTGGCGCAGTTCGCGCACCGCGGTTCATCTCTACCCCTTAGGCAGTTGCTGGCGATATGATCTCCGGCGCAGCGAACACACTTCACTGGCCTGAAGCAATTTGTAGACGCATGGCCAAAGGCCTGGCAGCGATGGCACTGTGAAGGGCCCGCGATATTATCGTAATGGGCGTCGAAGGCACGGTAATATAAAATTACCATGTCGTAGGCCGTGGCTAGCGTTGCCAGGCGTCCGGACACAGTCAGACTTTTTGGTTGCGTGTCCAGCCAAATTAGACGGTGTCCGGCCTGTCTGGTTTTTTTTAGGCTTTTTAAAGGAGACGATCGTTTTTGAACCAACTAGATTTTTTTTACGTAATTTAACTTATAAAAAAGATACCAATTTTACTGTAGTAGACTGGCTAAAGATTTTATGAAAATTTAAACGATATCATGATAAATAATATAATTAAGAATCGATAGCTACATATAAATCACCGCAGTCCGTTTATTGGTGAACTATTTTCTCCGGAACTACTAAAAATATTATTTTAGTATATCCGGAGAATCCACTTAGTATTTAATATTTTGAAGAACCTACAACTTTTTATACTTTTTATTATTAACACTGCACTATTATAACATATAATATATCGATAAAAACTACTAGACAGTCGCACATATAAGTTTTATGGTATAAAGAGATTGCCGTTTGATTGTTAATTTCTCAGTATTCCCGTTAGATGCGGGAAAATTAATATCACTAGTGTAATCTAGAGATATAAGTAATAAATCGACATTCATTTCATTAAGTCACGCCACAATTTGTGGTGAGCCCATTCTCAATACAAAAAGAAATTGTCTTTTTCACGTACTTACATACATAATATTGCAATTATTTAAATTAATATTTTAATGAATATTGAACGAATACTTTATTTAAGACTGATTTATTCAATTTTATTGTTATTTCATTACAATTTGATAATATTTTATGGTAAATAATAAAAAGCATTGTTTTACTTTAAAAATAATTGTCATGTTATACTAAGATCTAAGACTAAAAAATTAAGGGTGTCCGGCCTTTTTACCAAAATGCCCGGCTAAACTCATTGGTCTGTCCGGCTTTACGGTCTTAAGACCTGGCAACCTTAGCCGTGGCGCTGCTATTTTGCATCTTAAACTATGCCCGCAAAGTTTAATCGTTGGAAATATTTACTTTAGTACAGTATATTTCAATTAGTATAATTTTTTATTTTTATAGTTTAATAAAAAAAATTATAGTTATTTTGATTGTAGCTGAACTTTCTTACCAGTCCGAATGGGGAAAAATAAACACAAGTATCAATGTTTCACTTAACGTAAAAAAAGAAATATCCTATCTCTGGAGAAAAATAGTGGAGAATAAAAATGTATGTGTGCTTGCCATATGGACTGGCCCAGTTTATGCAGTAAAAGTATTAAAAATCTATAAAGATGACAAATTTTGGATTTTGAACATGTTAGCCAAGTTACAAGCGTTTAATAAAAAGTGTGTACTGCCTGAAATTATTGACTCGAGATAAGCTCGGTCAATGAAGTTGCGGCAAATATTTTTATAATAAAAAATACGGTAATTGACTATAACTACCGATTAAAAAATATAAGTTACAGTTGGTTATTTTATTTATTTAAACAGGTTGCAACCGTACTATTAATTTATTTATACCACTATGCTACCGTTAGTAGATATAATCCATTATTAACCAACATCGGTTAACAATCGATTACTGTGAAACAATTAAAATATTTATGTTTACTTATTTTAACAATACGAATAAGGTTCATAAATAATGAAAAATATAACAAATAGATTGTAATAAATTAATTAGAGACATAAAAATCACACACCAAAAATTTTCCATCCACTGAACTCCATCCTAAGAAAACTTGTATAATGAAAGATCAAGATCATTTAGTCGCTATACTCACAGTACCGTAGTGCGAGCGATTGAAAAGATAATATAAAATAAAGTGTCGCTCGCATAGGTCATCGCCCGCTCGTGGCGTAAATATCTAAATTTGTGTAACGCCGAAATGTAAGAGGGCTCTTAAATAGCATATATATTTAAATTATAATTATAATTAATATTTAAATCTGTTTGTGTTTAACACTACAGACACTTTAAAGACGATCAAGGAAGAACGCTTTACGGTCTTGGAACGTGCCCGAGATGTATTGCGTGAGAATGCAGTCTGGGTGACAGCCTTCAACGGTGAACTAGTGAAAATCTCCAAAAATGCTGCTGATATCAAAACCAGCATATTCACACGCCAAGCCTGTATTCCTGGGATGGGTGAGTATGATTAAGTAATAAAAAAGGCAAACAGTAATATATTCTGAATAAGGAAACTACTAACATCTAGCTACTACTACGTAGACAACCTGGGCTCAGACCCTGGAGCAACCATTTGTACAAACACAAGTTGTTAGTTTTGGATTCGGATGAGTTTTTATTGTCCTTGGGTCACTAACACTGCATCTCTCTGTATTAAATTAATTGGAGGCTTAGAGGATCGCACACCAGCTTGCGGATCCGAATCTACCAAAAATAGATATTACAAAAACAATAAGTTAATTCGCCTAAATGATTTCTTATATTTACGCGAACACTACTCATTGAAATAATACTAGTTTTTACGGAATTTATCGCGTATATTTTACTTTTAAATACCCGACGTTTCGAACGCTTTACAGCACTCATGGTCACGGGCAGGACTGAGATGTTCAACGTCCATATGTCATCGACGTTGAACATCTCAGTCCTGCCCGTGACCATGAGTGCTGTAAAGCGTTCGAAACGTCGGGTATTTAAAAGTTAAAATATACGCGACAAATTCCGTAAATACTAGTATTATTTCAATAATTCGCCTAAAGTTACTAGGCTTTAAAAGGTCATTAATATATAGGTATTTTATGTTTGATAATAGTTAAAGCCTAATACTTTTTGCACTAAACGGAAAATGCTATTCGAATAAGGCTTAAACATGTTCTCCAGTAGTGTATGAGCGTGTGCGCAAGCACAAGTTCATACTTTCTATTCCCACACTCTCATAGTCCGATAAGAGCGAAACAACTTTACGTGCTCTTCGAGGAAAGAGGGTAAAACTCCGCCAACTTCCTGATTCCAAGCTACAACTGAGAATTTTGCGACAGAATATACCCAATAACTGATTTTGGCCCTATTCTCCATCAACGGGGTAGTCAAATAAGACTTACCTCGGGCATGGATCGATACAAAGTTGGAATAGCAACGCTATATCCGTATTATGGCTCGACCAGGTAAGAAGCACGATCTCACAGAACGATAGCGTAAAATAGCATCATGATTCTAGTGTGTAACCCATGGTAGCCCATAGACTCAAAGACTTTTTTTAAACGAGGCAATCCATATTAGTCCTCGGGGCTGACAACGTATTTGCATTTCTATTCTTTATGTTCGTTTAAATGTAGGTCTATAGACTACAGTATCGTTTTACTATCGAGTGTACGGCCGTGTAAACCTTCACCATCGTCATTACAACCCTTTACAAGCCTACTGCTGAACATAGGGCTCCCGAGAGATATACCATATAGCACGGTCTTGAAAAACCTATATCCATCGACTTCCTGCCGGGTCGTCACTCTATCTAGTCAGGAGCCGCCTTACACTTCGCTTGCCGGTGCGAGGTTGTCACTCGAGTTCTTTTATAAAAAAAAGTTAATGTTAGTGTTATTTTTAGTTCTATAAAAAATATTAACTGAGGTGAACTTTCACTCAGGTCGTCACTATTTCTACAATATGACTTCGGAGACTCCCTGCACATCGAGCACTCTCTTTCCGTGGTTCGCAATCGTACATTCTGGTGAGCTGGTCGCCACAGGTCTTATCGCACAGGGCAAGCTGCCAGTAAAGAGCGACCAGAGGGATTGGTTTGAAAGACCTCACAAACTTGTTGTTAAGGTAAATTCAATTGAATACTTTAGGTGCACTTAATATTTTTGATAATTTTTTTTTTAATTTAGGAATCCAATTAAGTTGCTACTATGACCTGAATTAGTCTAGTAGTTTCTAAAATTTTATTTGAAAAAAAAACCTTTACCACTGCAACTACTGTACGGAGCGGTTCATCCTCACGAGCAAACTGAATATGCTGCTGGGAAAAAATGTAGTGCCGACTCTCCATTCCTCAGAGAATAGTACAAAAACCAGTCATACATTTTTTGTAGGAATGACGACGACAAACGAGCACACTCTCCGCCTGATGGTAAGTGGATGCTGTGGCAGACAGTGTACTAACAAATTTTCAACAATATTTATAAATACTAACGTCAGTTTATAACAACAAGTTTGTACTTTTAAAAAACTGTATTTCAAGTAAGTAGTGTGTTTATACCAGTTTTGGCTCACGAGCAAGAACTAGCCCTCGTCAGCTGCCGGTGGTTCGACGGATCCAAAATTTAAAGGTTTTGGCATGCTCTGATCACGAATTTGCGGTCCTTTTTTGCGTAGGATGCGCGGTTCCGGAGATGTGCGGATTAATTAACTAATATCTAATTGATATGTGGTGAGCCTGCAGCCTCATTAACGCTTCCATTGTTTCCAACCTTTCCTCTTTTGTATTGTTTCTTGAACACCGTCATTACCGCTTCTTATCTACTTTACAACGAGTAACTACAACTATCGTATTCGTTGTAAATCCTTTTGTATTATATTTCTTTGTCTGACTACCACATTATTTTGTGATACCAATAAAACACATTCCTTAATTTTGTAACAATTTTTATTTCCAACATTTTATTGCTTATTATTTATAAAATAGGAGCGAAACAACTCATCCACTAAAATATCGTTGTACAGTGTGTTCCCTGTAAATATGCCCGTAAAACTATGCATTTAACATCCCTGAAACTTATATAGCGAATACATTAAGCAATATTCACCACAAACTGAAGCCCACTCATTCTGAATTCTATCAACATTCCAGTCCCATCTTTTACAATTCCTTTTCAAAAACTCTAGATGATATCGTGCAGGTGGTCGTCCATACGAATCAAAATATTGACCGATGCCATTCGTATCGATATATAAAGCTATCCAATGTGACCCTGGTTTACTATCTGTATCCAAATTGCATATTATATACGTTGGTACGTGGGTGTACAGGGCAGGGATGAATCTTTTTCAGATGTTGTTGTACATCTAGTAGTTACGCGGAAACGATTTGTGTATTTTAATTTTGTTCGAGGGTATATTTGCCAAGTGTTTATCCTTCCTTTGACCTCATGTCCCTTCCATACACACTGAAAGGGGGGAGCGAGGGGTCTAGAAGGTGACGTGATTCTTTCGACCAATGAGACGCGTGCCCGACCGAGGTGCATTGGTGGGAAAGCCGAGGCAATATAGGCTTGCGCGCTGCCCTCGAGCGGCCTCTTGCCACGCGCCGCTAGTCTCAACCGTACCACCTGGGCAGTCACGCTCCAGAAGTAACCGCCTCACATAGTGTGAGATATCGTCGCGCACCGCTCTCTTCCTTCGTACCACTGGCCTGGATCGCATCTCTGGGGCGCCCCAGAAGAACCCACCTCACGTCGCATCACCGCAACGGATGCGTCGTTCGCCGTATCAGAATCACACCCCGGTAAGTGCGTTTCCTGTAATTTTGCTCCTACTTGAGCATTTTGTTTAATGATAACCCGCCCCATTTTGTTTCTCCTAATGTGCTCAAACAGAATTCCATCCTAACCTTGGCAAGCAAGAGATTTGGAAGAGCGAGTGCATTGTCCAAGGTCGCCGCGTGCCACGTCCGCCATCTTGTTCAGGCATAAGAAGCCAACCGCGTATACAGTCCACCTAGTATAACATCTCGCACAATAGGGTCAAGGCTCGACCTGGGAATCGAACTCGGGAACCCCTAGGCCCACCGCCCAACCATCTAGTGTATCCATGATATTACTGCTATTAGTTTTTTACGTTACCGATCTATTCAATGGTTAATATACGAATGCTCAATTATAGTGATTTGTAAATATTAAATACTTTTGTGATAATTTGTAGGAGTCATCGGTGTAGCAAAAGTCGCAACACGCAAGAATACGAGGTAAGCTTGTTCACTGATAAATTTACTATCAGTTTCACTGCGGAAACTCGAACAGTGTTTTGTATAAGTCCAAATAATAATAATATTTTAATGAAATATAAAATAATATATTGCATACAATTTGTATTTTATAATGTTTCACATAGTTACATACACACAAAATGCATTACGCATAACACGTAAATCTAACACACAACACACATTATAACCTTAACTGCTATAGTCTACAGAACTTTTTCTGTTTTTAATCTATTTAAATAATTTTATCAAACTCAGCATAAACTATTCAGTTAATTGATTGTATTAGTGAGGATTCAAATCGTACTTGTAATCTTACACTACCATTTTTTATGAGATTCCAATGAGATGATGAGTTAGCTGATAAATCAGGAGTTAAGTCAAATGCTAATAGACAGTAACCATACTATTACGCATACAGTTCACAAGAGATTCCATTTCCTTCATTATGAAATTGAATACCAGTTCCCGAGAACAGAGTGTGATTATGCTGATGTACTATTATTAAAAGATGCAAAGCTTTTGAAGGTATTTGTTGATAATAATATATAAGCTGAAAGAATTAATACCATAGTTTTCAAACTTAAATGAATTTTTAGTAAGTGGACCATTAAATGCAGAATTGTTCACAAATCCAATTACACATCTTTTGAGTACATGTCCTAAGAATATATTATCAGAGTTTTTCCTTGAATAACCGATGGAATTGTTAAAACTTTTACTTCAGCTTGAGTAGTAGGATATTTAGCAGTGGTAGAAGCTAAAAGTTTTTGGTGTGCGAGTAACAATAAGAGTTGCATCCGGAATGTTTTCCGTAATACTTTAAACTTTACATCGTTTGATCCAGTAATTAAATTAAAACTCTCTCTTGATCGAACTAATTTTACACTCATTTCAACACTATTCATTAAAAAATTATCTTCTCACTGTGTTCTCACCGTGAAGATCTCAAATCATTTATATTTCCTTACTTACACTAACCAATTCCTGTTTTTTAACAAATCCTATGTTTTTACCATCTGCAGAATCCATTTTTCCTGCTGTATCCTCATACCAAAGACTACAATTATGATGAGATTGCTTAGCAGCAGGAGCATAGTTTAAAAGGTTTTCCATGTATGCTCGATATGCATAGGTATTATTAGGTGGTGATACAAGTTTTTGGTTTACATAAACATCAAGTTGACTAAAAAAGTGAATGCAGCCAATTATTTAACACATCATGATGTTTTATATTATTTTAGCAATATATATTAATTGTTTACACCAACATTTTCATTTTTAATTTTATCCCTTAGAACTTTAGACGTGTGTAATGGTTTACTTTATCCATTCGTTTACTGCTATTGTCGCAGGACCAAGTGGTTGTGGGAAGTTAAATTTTGAAACAAACTTCATAAAATCAGTTAAAGAAATACGTAATTGTGATTTTAATCAGATCACATCGTTTTTTGATGAAATGCATTCTTTATATAATTTACCCAACGTTAACTATCGTCAAGGAATTCCCAATCTTAATATGTTTGATGGTGAAAACCCACATCTTGTTATTATTGATGATCTAACAAGAGAGTCTGGTAGAATAATTGCGGATATTTTTACAAAAGGCAGTCATCACAGGAATCTTAGTGTATTTTATTTAACTTTAACACAAAATTTATTTCATCGGGGTAGTGGTCAAAGAGACATTTCTTTAAACTCAAGTTAAATAATATATTTTAAAAGCCCTCGAGGTAAATTTCAAATAAGATAATTACCACGACAAGTATCATCAGATAATCCGAAATTTATTGAGGATGCCTTCAGGGATGCAACTCTAGAGGCGCATGGATATTTAATGGCAAATTTCAAAAAGAATACCAATTATTTTTGTCGCATCAAGATAAATGTCTTCCCATTTAATAGTTTCTGTACAGTCTACCTCCCCACAAAAGAGTTTAAATACACCAAGAATCAAACAATTCAAATAATTTGACAGGCCTGTTGGTCTAGTGGTTAGTGACCCTGACTGCTACGCCGGAGGTCGTGGGTTCGATTCCCACCCAGGACAAATGTTTGTATGAGCACGATCATTTGTTCTGTGTCTGGGTGTAATTTATCTATAATATTTATGTATTTAGAAATATATAAGTATGTTTATCAGTTGTCTAGTACCCATAACACAAGCTCTGCTTAGCTTGAGACTAGATGGCATTGTGTGATATTTGTGGAATATTATTATTATTATTAATATATTAATAATATAAGAATATTATTATTATTATTATATTATTAATTTCCAAATGATGCATCGTCGACTCACAACGCATAAACATTTGCTAGATGCCTTGCATACACTTAAACCAAAATATCATAGAGCATTACTTAAAACGTGTGATGACCAAGAAGTAAATTGTATTTGTGAATACATTCAGAACGTTTTACAAGGAAAGGTACCGGTGTGTACGTGTAAACATAAACTAAGAAAAAAATGTAATGATACAAAAGGAGGAAGGATATATAATATCAAGTGCAATATTGAGTGGATTAGTAGGTGGACTAACCAGTCAACTTGGAATATGCAAAGAAAATGATACTTATCGAATCTGGATTGATTGAAAAAATTAAAAAAGAAAATAAGATTAATAGTAATTTATCTCGATTAGATATTGAAATGCAAAGTTTATGAATAGTAAGACAGAAGACCGAAAGAAGTGGATATATACATACACTACAAAGATACCTTCATTTTATCGAAGAGGATCGTCAACCACTCAGATTACCAATTTATTCTGATACATCTAATGAATATTCAAATGAGTCTAAAATTATTTTATAAAATGAAGAAAGAGATCTAAAAAAATCA